TAGACATGATCTTAGTGCACTGTAGCCTTCAATTTTCAGCCTCCAAGAATTCTCCCACCTCCGCCTCTAGAGTAGCTGGGACTACCTTGCTAGCTCATAACATAGATTATTACAGCAAAAGACGGAAAGGTTTGGGGCATAAAGAGTTACAGACAGATCCATATATGGTTAAAGGCAAGAGAGGAAGAAGTGAGTAGGAAAGATAAGATATCAAAAACATGAGTAAGATAATTTTTTAGAGCACCACAGAAGCTTGCTTAGAAAATTAGAAACCAGTAGTCTAATAACTATTTTCACCCATTTTTACAAAGAAACATGTAATATAGTTAATTCTAACACACTGGCATATTTACTTTATGGCTAGAATATCCAAAGTTCAAAATCAACTAACAGTGCTTCCTAAAAACAATTCAAGAATTCATAAAAAAATGATAGGGCAAACAACATGTGTGAATTTAATCGACTTAAGAATACTCACTTTGTGACCTCCATCAACTACAAATAGGTATATTTGTGACATGGAAAAAAATTCAAATATTTCAAGTCTCTAAAAAGTTTTATTGCAAAGGTGTTGATCTTATAATTTATGCCTTATAATTTATCAAATGGTCTGCAAAGTCATGTCTATTTAATTTTCACAATTTAATTGACTTCCAGGTACCATGGCTCCATATCAGCTCTCTTACCTTTCTCTGAACATAAAGCACTCTATGTCTTTAAATCTTGGTTTTTTCTTTTGTTTTATTTTTTGGGACAGAGTCTTGCTCTGACATCCAGGTAGAGTGCAGTAGCATCATCATAGCTTACTGCAAGCTCAAACTCCTGTCAAGTGATCCTTCTGCCTCAGCCTCCAAGTGCGGACTACGCCATGCCTGGCTAATTTTTTTCTATTTTTGGTAGAGGATGGGGTCTCGCTCTTGCTTAGGCTGGTTTCGAACTCCTGACCTCAAGCAATCCTCCAGCCTCAGCCTTCCAGAGTGCTAGGATTACAGGGGTAAGCCACTTTGCCCAGCCCTTTAAAAATTATTGTTGAGTCAGGGGCAGTGGTACAGACTATAGTCCCTAGCTACTTGGGAGGCTGAGGCAAGAAGATCACTTGAGCCCAGGAGTTCGGGCCAGTAGTCTGCTATGATCACACCAGTTAATCACTGCTGCACTCAGCCTGGCAACATAGTAAGACCCCATTTCTTAAAAAAAATTGTTGAATGGTATAACTTAATCGTATTCATTTCTACAAATTAAAAAAAAGTCAGTATATGTTATCCAATTTCTTTTTCTCTTTCCTCCACCACCAAACCATTCCAAGTATTTCCTTCTAAAATGGGAGTGTGAAAGACAGGTAAGTAGGTATATATTTCCTAATTCACTTCTTTTGAGAGTTTTCATTATGTTTTAAGAATCTCACTCCACACATTAAATGACTCATTTTTTTTTTTTTTTTTTGAGACAGAGTCTCGCTTTGTTGCCCAGCTAGAGTGAGGTGCCGTGGCGTCAGCCTAGCTCACAGCAACTCAAACTCCTGGGCTCGAGTGATCCTTCTGCCTCGCCTCCCGGTAGCTGGGACTACAGGCATCGCGCCACATGCCGGCTAATTTTTTATATATATACATCAGTTGGCCAATTATTTCTTTCTATTTATAGTAGAGACGGGCCGATCTTGCTCAGGCTGGTTTCGAACCCCCTGACCTTGAGCAATCCGCCCGCCTTGCCTCCAAAGAGCTAGGATTACAGGCGTGAGCCACAGCGCCCGGCCAAAATGACTCATTTTTAATTTGCAGTTAACTTTAAGTTTTCAAATACTTGCTACTAGCTTAAAATGAGGCTGTCATTGTGTTAGTATTTAAAATAAAGTCTAAAAAGTGAACCAAAATGAAAGTGATAAAAAGATAATTACATCAGTTCCTCTCATGTTTAGAACTTAAGTACTTAGTGCTCTAGGGAAGAAGTACTACACAGCTCAATAATTTTACTTCTTCACTTGCTGTCCTCACAAGAGCAAAGAAATACTAGGGATATTCACCCATATGCCAAGGTAAGAAAAGAGAGAGATCAAGAGAAATAAAGGGGCCGGGCGCGGTGGCTCACGCCTGTAATCCTAGCTCTCTGGGAGGCCGAGGCGGGTGATTGCTCGAGGTCGGAGTTCGAAACCAGCCCTGAGCAAGAGCGAGACCTCGTCTCTACTATAATGAAAGAAACTAATTGGCCAACTAATATATCTAGAAAAAATTACCGGGCATGCGGTGGCTCATGCTGTAGTCCAGCTACTTGGGAGGCTGAGACAGAAGTC